CGGTAAAAATCCTAGAGCCGGCCCTGACTGTTACATTGATATATTTATATTTTTGTCCACCTAGTTATGATTTTTTTTTCACCCCCTGCTGCCTGCAGATTAACTAGTACCCCTTACCAGAGGCATCACGCGCTGTGGCGTTAATGTTGGTTGATTTTATTTCTTCCAGTAACTTCTTTTTAAATGTCATGTGTGCATATGGAAGCCAGTCTTTCATATCCGATTTATGCAGTACCTCTGACAAATCGATGTATAACATTTCCTACATGCGAGGGTATTTCTCTGAATTGGGTTTCTCAATATAATGCAAGACCATTTCACTTATAAAAAGCTAGTTTATTAGCAGCATAAAGTTGTCAGTTGGTTATGCCCCTGTAAATATCAGGGCACATTAACATAAGCTTGCCAAACAGGAAACGAAGGGGCTATTTTCCTTGCAATTCTTCTGCAGGAGAAGAAAAAATAAAAATGAAGAGTTGTTGGAACAGCCGCTATAGTTCATATGATTCATCTCTGGCTCAGACAAGGACACACTTTGTCCAACAACCAGCGGCGTACACAACTGTCTGAGTGTCCACGTTATTTACTGACTTCGTGCAAGCCGTATTTGCCAGTTTGAATTTACAGGAGACTGTGTTGGATCATCTCATGAAAATATATTGTCTGGCTATATTTTTTAAATGCTGTCTACCCTCCTTGTAAGACTTGAGACCCCAATCAATCCTTTATGTTATGACCAGGTGTAAGTCATAAAGGGGCTCTTATTACAGAATTTTATAGAGTCAGGAGCTAGGATATTCCTTAGGAAGATATGTCCATAGAAGCCTTAAACAGCAAACTATACTTCCTGGTTTCTGGTTCTGGAGTCAGGATTCCTGCACTCCTTGTCTGCTACTGATCCAGAAGGTTGAGAGTCATCTCACTGTGGACAGCTTGAGCAAGATCCACTACACCATTTAAGCCGAGCATGGGTGGAAGAGCTGTACAGGACTGTTGGAACCTATCTTCACATTCTGCTACGATACCATGTCAGCTCCCAATAAGTTAATAAGGAGGGGTCTCAGAGGCAATGCACGAGGGGCAGGGGGGCATGCAGAGTCACATCCCCTCCCCCGATTTCTCAGGCTGCCTCTTGCCAGAACTCCCAGCAGCGAGAAGGTGGAGACTTCCCCTGGTGGTGGCACTCACTGTATGTCCTTGCAGCATGGGGAGGGAGGAAGCACCAAGGCCCTTCCCTCTACATGGGGATGCTTCTCCTTCCCTGCCACTGGAGTCCCAGCGCTTCCCGCTGCCTGCTTTGCAGACCATCCGCTGAGGTGAGTCAGGGTAGAGGCAGAGATGATGTGTGGGGCAGTCGTGCCCCCCAAAATCTTTCAGCTGTGCCCCCTCCCCCACTATCCACAGTTACATGTCGCCTCTGGGTCTGTTAGATGCAGGCCAAAGGCAAGCAGAGGAACGGGGCAGTGCATTGACTTATGTAGGTCTAGAGGTCTGGAACATCCTTATGGTGAGCAGAGGCATCCAGGCTCCCTGTAGCTGATAATTTGGAGTAGCAGCTAAGGAGAAGCCATGTTTCCAGCCCCATGATCTTTACCAGGTTGGAGAGGCGGGCTGCTGGTGGTAAATTCCTTGCCCCATTTAATTCCTGACACACAGTTGAGTGAGGAGGGGTGAATTCCACCATTAGGTATCAGGATTGAAAATCCTGGATAGAACAGAAGGCTTAAAGGGCTTTATTCAGCCCCACAGTAACTGGACATGACTCCAGTAAAATCAATGGATGCCCCAGGGATGGATTTGCCTGAATAACTCTCTTCCATTTCCATTTTCCATGATCCTGTCTGGAATATGGTACAAAACATCTCCTCATTCCTTCCTCACATCCTGTAGGTGTCAGGGCAAAAATATTAAATGTCTATAAAAGTGCTGTAACATGGAACATCTGAGCACTGCTATGCAAAAACAGACCATAAACAGGAAATTTCACAAGTGGCAGATTGCTAAATAAAGTATAGAATCATAGAATATCAGGGTTGGAAGGGATCTCAGGAGGTCATCTAGTCCAACCCCAGGCTCAAAGCAGGACCAATTCCCAACTAAATCATCCCAGCCAGGGCTTTGTCAAGCCTGACCTTAAAAAATTCTGGATTCTGACTTGTGTACAGAATCCAGACAAAAGAGCAGAATAACCCTCACCCAAAGTAATATTGACTTAACAACTTCTGCCTGAAGGATTTTGTGGTGTATCCTTTCTCTTTTCTATGAAGTCTTGTTCCTGACGACAGGGCCTATTACAAGGGTGGACATGTTTGATCCCACCTGTTTTAGTGCAGCTATACGCATGTGGATATAACCTACTTGTCTGCAGTCTCTTCAATGCAGATTTTCCTCTCCTTTCTTTTCAATCACAATTCACTGAGTGACACATACTTCGCAACCAGGTAATCACACTCTTTTAATGATAATTATGATGGGCCACCCTTAATGACACCAAGTAGCACCTTGTTTCATTAATAGTATCCATTGATTTTGATGTTCGCAAAGGTGCCAGAAACTAGCTCTATATTAGCATTATTATGTCATATAAGCTATGCCTACTCAATATGGCACTCTGTCCCCCCCCCCCCCCGGCTTTGTGGTTAGGCCAACTAGAAACTGATGAATAAAATTCCTAAATTAGGGCTCGATCCTGTACTACCGAATGCCTCCTGTAAAATGCTGAGGGCTGAATTTTTAAAAGTATTTAAGTGCCCAGCAATCCAATTAGGCACCTAGTGGGATTTTCAGTAGAACCAGGGACCTAATTTCTGCTGAAATCAATGAGAGTTGGGCACCTAGATGCTTTTAAAATCC